TAATCGGGAATTAAATGAAAATTTGTTAGAATGATGGTCAATACTAGCCGATAATGATGGCTATTCAATAATTTGAAATAATATTCTGCTTCATAATAAAAAATATAATTTTAATTTTCCCTGTGATTTTCCTGCTATTTCCACTCACCCCTTATACATAATATTGCTATTAGAGTACAAAAAAAATTATCAACAAATTCATAGTTTAGGAAAATTATTATCATAAGTAAAATATCAAGTGATATATCAAACTCACTCAATACACGAGTGGTGTCACTGAGAAAACCATGTCTTAAACAAAAGTGAAATATAGTGTATTACCACAAATATGTCTTCAGTTATGGACGCCATTCATCTTTGCAATGATATCGCCGAAGACATCAAACCTACTGTGCGTTTGGTCTACGCTTTTGACGACTCGGGCGGCGATAACCTAATCTACATCACCGCCAATGGCTGCCATCACAACGTCTACGGCTTGGGCAGCAACGCCAACGGCCAGCTCGGTCTGGGCCACAATCAGCCCGTACTATCACCGCAACTGATCCCTCAACTAACCAACCGAGACATCATTTCCATACATCACGGTTTAGACTTTACTGCGGCCGTCACAGACACCGGACACGTTTACACCTGTGGTCACAACCCGTTCGGCCAATTAGGCCGGAAGTCCACACGTCGGGGTCAATACCACGCGCCCGAACCTATTACCACATTCAACTGCAATTATCAGGTGCTGCAGATAGCGTGTGGCTTTGACCACACACTAGCGCTGACCACAGCGGGTGAAGTGTACGGCTGGGGTAGTAACTCGTGGGGACAGGTGGGGTGCGGACTGGCCCGACTCTGTGAAGTACCGGCCCCGTGGTTGTTGCAATTTTCAAGCGATAATCACCGCATTGTTACTGTAATGTGCGGCCAACACACGTCCTACGCCCTGACCACCGAAGGCCTAGTGTTTAGTTGGGGTCGCAATCAGAGCGGACAACTCGGTCACGACAACTGCGGCCTTACGGTATACACGCCGGCGCTGGTGACCAGTCTGGTCGTCGGTGTTAAGGATATCTGTCCGTCTAATACGGCGGCTTATATGCTGGCCACTGACGGTGGGCTGTATTTTTGCAGTCGCGTTAACCTATTGGGACCAATAGTACAGCGCTTAGAGATGTGCGCCACTGTTGATGATATTAGACAAGTGGTGTGTCGTAAGGGCACCGATGAGCCCATTGTGGCCGCACTCGTAGCAGAAAAGGTGTGTCGCATATACCGCGGGAACCGTATTGAGTACACCGATTACAATAGTTTGGATGAGTTCTTTGCCCGCGAGTTTCAGTTGACTTTCAGGGCGATGTCTTTGCCAGCAAATGGTGGCCACAGTGTGGCCGATAAGAGTCACCGATGGACACATACTATGGGTAAGTGTTTGCACTTATTGTTGATAATTGTAATGATATTTTTGTATTGTTTGTTCCCCTCAGAGGAGGCCCGAGAGTCGGCAGAGTTGCTGCAAAACATCACCGATCGAGTGATCCGTCTGAACGAGTGTCTGGAGAAACAGTTGCGAAACAACGCGACGACAATGAATGCGATGGAGAAGATGCCGATTGCGGTGATTGAGGCCCCGATATGGCCCGTATGGCCACTTAATCTGTATACGGAGAGTGTGAAACAAACCTCGTACATAAGCGTATTGCATCAGGATAAAAGCCAAAGTTTTGTTACTTTTGAGCGCCTATTTGACCATGGTAGTATTAGATTAGTAGTTTGATTACTCTTTTTATTGGCAAAAATTATAATAATAAATAATAATGTTAATTTATGACATAGATTTAAATGGCAATTACAATATGATTACCAATTATGAAGTTAATCGGTGGCAATCATTTGTCTCAAGAGAGTCTTCGCTTAAGTGTATTGAATTTAATGATTGCATTGACACTGGTTTGTACACAACTGTATTGATTGCAATTATAGTTACTTTAGTTAATGAATGATTATGTTTATTACGGTTAGATGTGAACGAATGCTTCAAACCGGTGAAAATGTGCGACAATTCTGTCAATTTATATACAAAAATTAGTGGTCGAAGCGATAGATCCGCGGATTTGATTGAGTTTTACCCGGATTTAGCCGAAACTGCGGACATAAATGAAAACAAGTCATACTTTGACGACATTATGACTCTTGGTATCACTGGGTCTAATGGTCAGTACGCAATCACCGGAACAAATGGACTGCCAACTAGTGACGGATCAAATGATGGCACATATCGTGGCATGAATTACAAGAGTTATAAATATTGGCGCTTATTTGGATCCAATGGCAAGAAAATGGGGGAAAATGTGTCAAAAGCAGTGATTTTGTACGAAACAAAACTGAAAGAAAGTCTATATAAGACAATTAGTGGCAAACAATTGTCTATTGATGAGATCAGATCCGCCGCAAAGACTGTCCGCCAATTGGTTCACGAATATGAGGCCAGAATACGGAGCTCTACAGAACTTACTGTGATTGACAACTAATTTATATACAAAGTTATATTTAATATAGTTTATCATTAGATATATTTACCATATTATTTATACACATAATTTATATAATATAAAAGTAAAGCTTTATTTAATTTGTTATCTATAATCTGTTATTCAATTTGTTAAGATATTATATGAAACTAATTTATTATTTACTAAATTTAAAAATAATGTTATATTAATATTTTGTTTAATATTAGCAAATTAATTAATTTATATAACTCTCATAATTTATTGCAGCAGTGCTTATACAATATAGTAAAATTACAAACTTATTAAAAATTATTATTATTATAAAACTAAATAAAATGTCAATTAAAGGACACAATTTATTAATTCAAAAATACGTTATTTCCAAATACTATTTAATTCATTAACAATAAGATTATTAACTTTCAATTGGGCGCCGGTTTTGGATGACTGATAAAACACGCGTATAGTATCGGTCAACATGTCTTTGCTATAGAAAGTGCCGGTCATAACAGTCAACCCCTGGTCTCCATACACCTCCACTGCTGACAAGTCCAACACAACACGCATACTGACCACCGGTCCGGCGGTGAGTCGCGGGGCGTCGGGTGTGAGCATAAAATTCTTGCTAAAGTCATGCCTACCGGCGCGGGTCCTGTCGATCACGTACTTAGTGCCCACACCTGTGTAATAGACTTTTAAAGCATCTGTTTTGCCGGCAAACTCCAGGCCCAGAGTATCGGCGCCGACATCACCACCGCTGACATCAAACTCGACCTCAATGTCCAACAGATGGGATGTAGGCTTTGGTTTTAAGACAATATCCAGTGTTGTGTTGGCTCGCAATACAGCCCCTGAAAGTTTGGTGGTATTACGGGTCAGACCGTGTATTTCACGCACCGGCAGTGAAGTGAGGCGTAAATTTTTATCAACTTGTCTTAAAGTTAGCTCCCGGGGCAAAGTCATGCCACCCCTCCACACACTGGTGGGCACTTCGTTAATGTAGCCAAAGTTGGCCATCCATGCGATATAGACGCGGCGCAGGTTATCGCCCGGCGCCAGCATATTAAACGTTACGCCTGCGTATTCCTCCGGCCCGTGCTCCAGGTAAAGTGTGGTCGAGTCCGGGTTATCGTTGGTGAACTTGTGGCCGTCAAATGTGCCCACGAAATACTGGGCCCTATTGTTGTTGTTCACCGTCAGCACCCATTTGTTTACTACCTTACTAGAAATTATAAACATGGTAAGTTTTTGGTTTATCAACAGTATTGTATTTTTAATAAAAAATTTTTATCATTCATAATAAATCTTCAATAATAATAATAATCTCTCTCTCTCTCTCTCTCTCT